ACCGGGTCCGGGATGCGAACCGTGGTCGACTACATGGGAGTCCAGCGACATAGCCATTACGCCAACTACTGGTCCCTTAATTTCTAATCAATTCTTTTTATTAATAATTATTTCATTTATTTATCATTATTGTTATTGTCTTAATTTGACCAGAGTGAGACACAGAGAGAGAAAGAAAGCGAGAAAGCAAGCTGCCAGGTCCAGGAGTCAAACCATGGTCAGCCATGTGGGAGTCCAGCGCCCTTAACCACCACACCACCTGCCAGCCCCTCATTTCTAATCAATTCCAAGGTGATTATCTCTGCATTGTTCATAGCAGGAGCAAACTGGAGAGACCTAATTATCTATTTCGGTACTATTAACTCCACACAGCCTGTGCCCCATGAGCACCGGGCAAGAGAGGTAGTCAGAGTGGCCCAGGTGACACCAGCAGGACTGGCCTGGCCCTGGAATCGGAGCCATCTGAAGTTCATCCAGAGCCTGTTGGGATTGTCTGGTTTTCTTCCCTAGGAAGAAGCCACAGTATTACAGGAAAAAAGTAATTTGGTCAATTGGGAGAAAATGGATTTTTTTTTTCTGGTTTGGGATTAATTTTTCCTCTTCCTTTTGCCTCTTTCGCCATCATTTCCATACATAAAGTATTTCTTTTGCTATAATGGGTCCCTTTTGTGGGCAGTTCCATTTGTTCTATTATTTTCTATATTACATACATCACAGAGCAGGAATACTTGGAGTAAAACCAACTAGAAAGCTCACAAAGCAGAAAAGCTGGGAGCTGGAAACTTGCAGACTGACCGACCACCGGCGACACATGTGCGATTGCTGCTACAGCCACGTTACCAACGTGGAAAGGGCAGATGGGCAGAACCATGATCTTGGTGACTGGGTTGCCTCGTCGAGTGCTGCTCAGCCCGGCCTGCGCTCTCCCTCCGTGCACTGAAGATCTGGCAGTTCCGTGTCCTACTTTGCACTTCTGCATTTACCCTGAACCTCAACGTTCAGTGCTTTCAACGGTAAGAGAGAAGTGATACCTGGCCAGGGAGGTTCTTGAATAAGCAGTTGGTTTCTTAAATGCCCAGGTCTGGTTACTTCCTCATGAGGGAGTCACAAACAGAATGTCACCATGACTTCTTAGAACTGTGGCTGAAACAGGATATTTCCATGAGTGACCACGTGTGCACTGTGGTAAAGCAGAGCTTCAGTCTGCACTTCCTGGCAGGGCCAAAGCCCCAAACACGAGCCAAGCTCCGCGTGGATGGGACAGCCCATTCCCTCCACACTACTAAACCTGTGCATCTGTGAGGGAAGCAGGTGCCTCTGCCCTGGGCGTGGAGAGTGGCAGACACTCATCTCAAACCCTGGCAGCCTTTCAAGGATCCTTTAACCTGGGCCCAGAAGCCCCTAGACAATAAACATTCCTGGGGACTCCAAAACACTGGCATTTCAAGAGCCTAGGGTCAGGTGGTCCCTGAAATCAGGTCAGATATCCAAGAGCAAAAACTCTGGGGCCTGGGGTCGGGACTACACTGGCTGTGCCCCAAGGGGTTTAGAGGGAACATGTGAGGCTGTGTGGGGGGTCCTCCCTCCCCAGAAGCCTTCTGAGACTGTGCTGGGCCTGATCATGAGATTGCCCCTGGACAAAGGGAAGTGGAGCTGGGGCTACACAGCCATGTCTCTGCAGTTCACTTACAAGCTCAGCAGAGGAGGAGGCCTCCAGGGCTGGTTCCATGGCCTGGTGGTTAAGGCAGCCAAATCTCACATGACCATAGGCAGAGGGGCCTTGGGAACCATGAGCCAAGGAGTCCCCCAGAGCCACATTATCAGTCCTGAGGTCTTTGCAAGCTAAGGGCAAGGCCAGGCATGACTGGGAAGCAGCAGCCTCTCCCCAGCCTACTCCAAGATGGGGCCTGGCTGTGTCCATGGCCACCCATGTGTGGTGGCCCAGGATTCAGCACTGTCAGGGCAGGAGCCCTGTGAGGTCCTGGCTCCTACTCTCCTATGACTTAGGGGTTCTCCCCAGTCACTGCTGGGGAGTGAGTGTCCCTTTGGCTCCATGTGCCTGACCGGCTCTGGCCCTGGAATCAAGTAGCTACTCAAGGGGATCCTCACCCCAGCCACTCTACCCCCACCCACAGGCCCACGGTGTCAACACCCTCTACTTATCTCATGCCACTTGGGTTCTAGAAGGTCAGCCCTGGAACTGGGGCTCTGAGTGGGCCCTGTAGAGGGTTCCTGAGGGCCTGTCTTTGTACAAGCAAGCCAGGGCCTATGTTTGGGGTGCGGCCACAGGCCTCACCTGGCAGCGCCATCTGCCTCTAGGCACCTGACACTGACCTGTTCATGCCTGCTCGTTCTTGGAGTGCTGCCTGCTCCTACTCCCTTTGGGGAGCAGGTCCCTTCCAGGGTGGGACGGTCACTCCAGGCCTCATTTCCAGTTCTCAAGCTTCATCCTATCTCTTACCCCAAGGCACCTGCCACAGGCCCAGCCCACCGAGCCCAGCACAGGTGCTGGACTGAGGGAGCAGGACCAGTTCAGGGCACCCACAGCCCTTCAGCCCACTCTACCTCTCCGTCTACCCACTTCTGGAGGCCCCCTCTGGAGGCCAACATTTGTGCATGATTGTGCACACACACAGCAGCCTCTGCTCCCCATTCAGGTCCGATGCTGCCAGAGCTGAGCCCTCCTGTCCCACCGAGGAGCTGGCCAGTTCTCATATTTGTACATGGGTTGCACACGTGTTTGTGCATGCATATGTATGTGCACATGTCTGGGGTGCCCGGGGCACCTGGAGCAGAGCAGCCCTGTGCAGTCACCACTGGGAGTAGGGAGGGGATAAGGAGGGAGTCGGGTGGCTCTGCAGGCCACCGTGGCTCAGCCCTGCACAGGCAGCCAGATCTGGGTCTGAAGGCCTGTGCCTGTGCTGACTCAGGCCTCTTGGCCAGCTCTTTCCAAAGTATTTCCTGCTTTCCCTCAACCAGAGCTGCAAGGACAGCTGTGCGTCTGGTGCTGTAGGATCCCCTTTCAGAGGTCACTGCAGTGATTCAGGAAAAGATCTCCCCACTTCTGACACCAGGGACCAGCAGATGACACTTGCAGCCCAATTTCCTACAACCCAGTGTGGTCTGGACTCCTGAGTAAGGGTCAGGACTGGCCACGCTCATCCCCCACACTGGGGAGAGTGACTGACCCTGGGGCTGACACCTACTCATCTTCCTCTCTGGCCCATCTTGGCTAGGAGCTGCCTGGAACGCACTGAGGGCTGTTCCTGGAGTCTCCGTACTGGTTGCAGGCACAGGCCCCAAGAACCAGGCTGCCTTGGCCAGCTGACCACACCGACGGAGCTATTATCGTAAAGCTGCCTTCTTGACTGATGACTCAGGGAGAAGACTGTCTCAGTCGTCTGAGCTCAGCAATCCTGGCTGTGCACGGGATGGGTGGTTGAGGGGATGTGGGGTTGGTGTGACGGTGGCTGTAGGACTCACCCTCTGACTCAGGGAGGAAATGGGCTGCCTCTGGAGGTGGCTCTGAAACCCTGACAGAGATCTGTGATTCTTACTTCCCGAAACCCTGCAGGGGTTAGGGCCCTAGCCCAGAACACAGAGGAGGCCATACGCCCGAGGGAGGGCAGGTGGGTGATGAGGCAGTGTGTGTGGGGTAGACGCAAGGCTCTTCCTATCTCCGGTTCCCACCCCTCACTCTCTGGACACAGGAACAGTAAGCTGGGTGCCCCTCAGAAGCCAGTGGGCTAGAGCCCCTGCTCCTGCTTATCCCCAGCCAGCCTCAGAGTCTGGGGCATCCTGGCCACACCAGCACACTGCTGAGGTCCCATCCCAGGGCCAGACATAGTCTCTTGCAAATCTGGTGGGGTCTGTCACCAAGGCTAAAAGGGAGCAGCGAGATGGGGCCTAGACAAGGTGGGGGTTCTTTTTTTTTTTTTTTTTTTTTTTTTTGGGGGTTTTT